ACAACCTTTTCCTTTGCTGGTCACGGTCCGGCCCTTGAAACGCAAAGTAGGGCAGCTGCACGCAAGTGCAGCTTCCACTCGTGCCGGCGAAGCTCTTCAGCAGCGTCCTTGGCTCTGCACCCTTTAGTGGCTCCTGTGCACATGCCGCAACTCATGGTTGACTGGGGTTTCTGCCAGTGGTACGGGGCCACCAAGGACCTCCAGTGTGCCACCGCGGAGTGAGCCTGCCAGCACCTTGGAGAAAGTGCAAACCTGTAGCGGGCCCCACAACTTTCAAAGCCGAGGGCAGGTCATCTTGAGGCTTCAAGACGGCCGCATCATACACATGGAATCCGGCAGGATTCTCTGCCTATCACCGTTCGTGTTGCTCAAGCTCTCAAAGCCCAAGAGCTCTGCTTCTCGCCATGCCTTTATGCATGCCACGGGTATACTTTGCAGGATGATGCGGTAAGACCTCGCCAGGAGATTGTGAAAAAAAGAACCACCACAACCGACAATATCTCGGCAACCGCGCTCTGCGTCTGGTTCGTAGATGGCAGTGCAAGGAGCTGCCAGGGCAGCTCCAGGCAAGCGATATCGCCTCGAGAAAGCCGAATCTTGAATCTGCAACGCAATACTCACGAGTAATCCGTACTCGCCAAGAAGCTTGCCTGGTAGGATGGGCCTCACGATCCCGCAAGCGCAAGTTGGAAATCACTGCCATGGTCTGCACATTACAGGCGTGCCTTCCAGTTCCGTACAAATGCCGGTGATAGCTCCACGTCACAGGTCCCATCCTTAACTAGAACTAAACACGTCTGCCTGCTGGCTAGATGCCTGATGCCTGCCTATCAAGGCGCCCGACGCATTCTACCTGGAACCTGGACCCTGCTGAGAATGGATCATTGTACACAGCCAGGACGGTCACGAGGATTTGTCGGAGCGCATGCGTTAACTCCCCAACCTTCGGCCAGTGCAAAGAATAGAAACAACATGAAACAACGCACTAATTTGTGAGGTGCCGGCGATGAAGGTCCTCTGCCTGCAAAGTTGCTACAAATTGCTACAAGTAAGGGCAGATCTGTCCAACAGCAGAGGCACAGCATCCACAAGGTCTTTGCCCTCACCTCTGCCCGGGTAGCTTTGATGGACTGCTTGGCGTATTTGGCGTTGCTTCCTAGCCAGGCTCCAGCTCAGGTTCTCCCGCCTCTTACTTCCTCTGAACAAGGAAGCTCCACCCAGCCTTGGCCAGGGCCTCCTGCACTCTGGACCAGGTTGCTGGCCTCATCACAGACGGAGTTTTTGAGATTGATTTCCACAAGCTCGCCCAAACTTAGGACAGCGCAGCTGCCGCCGGCGAAAATCACACTCGTTCTCATCTGATGAGACTGCCTTAGCGCGGCAAGTGGCTGAGGCTGATTTGGCTGGACGAATGTGCCCTGAGCCTGGGTCACCGGCAAATTTGAAGGGAGCCGGTTCTGCCTGTGGCCACTTTTCAAGCGCTGGCCTGAGCATGTATCCGCTTTCGGACTGGCTGCGGAATCCTGGTTTCTTGGCTGTCTGCTGGGCATCCGGCGGCTTCCGAAGCAAGTTCACCAGAGTTTTCGTATCTGACGGCAGTTTCAGGCATGCTCCGTTGCACTACGTGGCATCAAGTTTGTCACTTTCCGCGGCTCCAGATGCCTGGTGGCAAACGTGATTGGGCCTTGGCTGTCGCAGCAAGTCGTTAGTGATACAAGCTTATCGAAAACATAGCTTTTAGGGTCTTGACCAGCTCCGCCGCTGTTCGAGGCCTGGTAGCAGATGAATGTCAAGTCTCCACGGGCATCACACGACTGCCCCGGCTCAGGTACTGGCCAGCGAAGGGGTGCACCTTCAAGCCCGCTCCGTTGCTTGTCCCAGCCTGACAGCGCAAGCATGCTGCGAAGCATGCTGCAAGGCATGCTGCCAAATGCGTGAAGCCCGACAGAGACAAGAAGCTCAGGGCACTGCTGCCGGCCGCAAGGCTGCAACGGAACTCGGTGGGACTCCGAGGATACGAAAGCACCTCTTCGACGAACAGATTGCCAGCATCGCCGATGTAGCACCTGCCACCTTGCTCTGCATCGATTCCTGCAAGATCATCACGGAGGCAGGCAGCCACCTCCAATGATGGCACATGTGCCGGGAGGGCTGTATCCTTCAGCTGTGAAAGAACCGACTCAAGCGGTGCTTCTCCCACTTCACACAAGCCAAGAGGTCGTAAGTGATTAGAGTCGTCAAAGTCAAGGTTGTCAAGCAGAAGATTGGCATGTAAAACTGATACCTCCGGCGTGTGCTTCTGGACCGCGCGTCCAGACAGTTTAAGCACATCATTGAAGCTCATGGGCTGAGGAGGATCTTTGCTGGAAGCGAGTCTGACCGCAAGTCGCACAGTGGGGAGCGGCCCTGCACCTCCAAGACCGATGGAAAAATGATGAGGAAGAGGGAGCAGCACTTTGTCTCCCTTGAATGACACGAAACCCTTCGGTTCCATCAGGCACGGATGACCGGCAGGAAGTGAGAAAGATCGAAGACCGTCACAACTAAGCTGGATTCGCACATCTTCAGGCTTCGCCAAGATGCCTGCCTTCAAGTCACCCAAGCGGATCTGCAAGAAGCATGGTTTCATCCGCACAGGCTGCCCCGTCAGCTCTTCTGCCGGCCGGCTGATGCCAAGGGAACCGAAAGGATAAGACGATGTCAAAGCTGCCTCGGATGACATCCTTGACTCTTTTCCACAGGTAGACATCACCCCTACTTCCCACCGGTTAAGCTACCCTGATCCACTTTGCCTCACACGCGCTCGCTTCGACCTAGGTTGTCTCCAATTCTTGTGGGAACTCTTTAGTTTGGCCCTTCGTGCTGATGCCCGTTGTTGCTCACAACCATCCTGCCGGCCCTCTCTATAGTGGTCGCAACTCTATCTTGTTGCAAGCCTGGCCTACTTTAGTAGCAGCACCCCTCCCATCCTCTTGCAGCAACAGTCTCACCACAACCCTCTCTCACATGCCTTACCCCTATGAAGGCAGAAAATGCTTGACCCAAACTGAGGTCCAGCCAGATGCTGCAGCCGAAGGGCGCAAAGCTCAGGTGAGATCAGCCTGGGCTTCGATGCAACACTTGGCGAGCGCACGTGCTCTGACCGCACGTCGATGTCTACGAACGGCTTCTGGCCCAGTTGGTCTGTCTGCCCGCCGGATAGGGGAATGCGCCAGGAAGCGGTGAGGCTGTTGAAGCCTAGCAATCTATGGACTGTGGATCTTGGACTCTTTTCAGTTGGCATGTCCTGCTGGGCAGACAACAAACGCCACAACGCCACCCTGTTGCCACAAAGCACCCTTGGGTTGACTGCTTCAGAGCTTGACTCATCAGGGTGAGCTTCCTCCGTGATGTCCACACTGCACACAGCATCTTCAATAACATCCAGGAGTTGGGAGGCCAGTTCATCGCTCGGAAGCGCTATATGACGGTCCAGCGCGCACGTATAATCCACATCTTCCCCAGTTTGAATGGCACTGACCACGCGTTGCCCCAAGAGGGTCAAATACGCCCGTGTGCAAGTCCGGCCCGCACTTCGGCAAGCCTTTGGTATCCAACCTGCTCTTACAGCCACAGTGAGCCGAAAACTTTGGGCTTCTGGACTTCCTGTACTCGCAGCTCCGACTGCCCGCGAGACCTTTTGCGCAGCTACCTCAGACACCCCACGATGGATCTTCCTGATGGGCCTCGGCGCGATCACCGGCAAAATCAAACCCCGAAAGATTGCCAGCGAAGTTGAAGTCTCTGGAACATCTTTGGAAACCCTCAAAGCACAGCACCCATGCAGAGTCAGCCAAGGGCCCGCATGCCTCGAAAGCTTTGCAAGGCTTTGATGCCTGCACAGACGTTGGGCTACCACTCGGCGTCTCAGCAGCAGACTCTCCGAACTCATCCACCCTCTCCTTTCGCAGGACTACTGCACGCACTTATCAAAAAAAACACTCGCAAGGTGGCTCACTCAAATTTGTCATCCAGGAATCCGAATGCATGATGACCGAGGAGATGCTGTCAATGTGCACATAGGCTGGCATATCCTTGATGACAGGGCTGCAGCGCCCTCACATGGGCATCTTACCTTTCATGTACCAAGACCGGGGCAGGTGTTCCCCGCCTGAAAGTTGCAGGGATAAAAGCACAGCTTACCTTCATAGCAGGATGGACTAGCCTAAGGAGCCAGCTGGCATATATGCAATCTACTCAAACACTTGGAAATCCACAGCAGTCCATTGCAGGGCCTCGGCAGGCGGCAGCGGACAAGTCGGAAATGAGCTACCTCCCTGAATTGTCAAATCCAGGCTAGTGTTTGTCATCACAACCGTTAGCTGCGTGCAATGCCTTTCTGCAGCACGCAAACTAGACATACCCAGCTTGGTTCCCGTCGGTAAGCTTTTCGAGGAGCAGCTTTTGGAAAAGATCTCAGCGCCTTTCGCTTGCCACAATGCCACTGAAAAACTTGCGCGTGCCCTGATACATGCAGGCAATACTGCGGGCCGCTAAGGTGCCTGGATCATCCAATGAGTCCTGGCACCAGTGGTAACTGGAAGCTTACGGAATTGTGCTTGCGTCGATAGACCTGCCTCACCCTCCTGCTCTGCCCCACAGACGAAGGAGACACCTCGAATGGAGTACTCACCCGGGTCACTTCTTACAAAACCATGCCAATTCGCACTGAGTGGCCTCTTGTCAGGCAACCGCAATTTTACGCGAAGAAGCGGACTGCTGTCAACTCTCTCAACTATTTCGTCGATTGAAATTGAAACCTCGACAGTCCTCAGGCTAGTCTTCTGGCACATCAGGCCTTCTGTGTTGAGGACAGGAACTCTGCTGCTTCTTTTCTGGCTGATAGTACATCATCTGCACAACATGTAGTAGATGCAACACACTTTCTTGAAAGCAAGCAAGAGCAACACGGTCAAAAGACCATCAGGACCAAAGGAAAGGCATAGTCAGATTCACATGGTTCACCAACCTTGGCACCGCGAGACTTGGGAAGGTAGAAACGACCACAACGTCAGCCGTAATTGGCGCTTTCCCACGCATTTCCAAGGCATCAACACGGCATTGGAGGCAAAGTCGCGTCCAAATATGTGCGCCCTGTTGTGACCGCACTCCTAGCAAGGGGGCTTAGCATACCTACTGGCCATGCTTACCCCCCAACTTCTTGCAAAACAATTCGTGCTACCCTTGCGGCGCTCCTCAAACTCAACGCATGTGCGCTTTCAAAGGTCGGGGCACCTTGGCTGCTGCCCAGGGCAGCAAGCGCTTATGCACTTCAGAACGTCTGGGAGCTGGCTAATCTACAACTGAAGACATATCACAAGCAGCCACTGGTGTCTGAACGTAAATGTCAAGGCGCTGGATGCCGCAAGCACACGCTGCAAGATCAGGTTCTCGCCACCGCCCAGGCGCACTGCGTCTTGAAGCAAGGGACCACCGCGAGCCCAGCTTATCGAGGAAACCTCAGGGTTGTGACCAGACCTGTTTTATGGAAAGAGGCCTGGCTCTGGGGTCATGGCCTGAAGCTGCGGCATGGCTGTCAGCACAGCCGCACTGCATGTCTGCAGTGCTGCTGCTGCTTCGGCATCCGCCGACTGCTCGTTCATCCCAGCCAGTGCCTCCAACATGGCGCGCTGTCGAGAAGACCTGCACGCTCCAGAACTTGAAGAAACTGCGAGGGCAGTGAACATCCAAGGCGCAGGCCCGTTGGGGATGTTGGGGGCGTCCATTTGTTGCACTTTGGTCGCTGAGGCCGCAGTGGAGCGGCGCAGCTCAGAGTGCCGCGGTGCGTGAGTGATTGTGGGCAGCACTGCCTGAGCTTTGCAAAACCAAGTCTACCAACCCCAGATATGCGACCAGTCAAGCCGCCCCGGTTGTCGCTTCCATAAACTCGCGGTATTGATCGGCAAGCATGGCGGCCACAGCTCACAGGTTGTCCTTCCCAACACGCAACACGCAACCTTGCATGCACCCTGTTGAGCTGCTGTCAGCTTTGCTGCTGTGTGTAAACTATCTCGGCTCGGTCGCTCTCCAGCGCTTTGACTGGATGTTGTCTGAGCCAAAGGCTTTCCATTCGGACTTCAACACAAATCGAAACAGAAGTTCGATCATCGGCTGAGGATGCAGTGCGAAGATGAGCTGCTAACCCAGCGGACTGCGCGCTTGCAAGACAACGTGCGCAGGAGGCGGCCCAGGTCTTCGGCCTACAATCGAGTCTTTGGGCAACGGCAAGAAGTGTGGAGAGGTTCCAGCAACTGCGAGCCTGTTTCACTTGCTCGCGAATTCAGCCTGGTCAAGCATTCAACACTTCCCAGGCATGCCAAGTTTTTGCCAAGTATGATCCAGTATGCTCAAGGGCTTAGACTCAACCAAGGGCTGAGCCCGCCATCTGACCGCATGAACTCCCGGGCACGTCTTTGCAGCCACGAAACCGCCTCGCGATATGGAGCACAACATCAGGCCAGCAACGTTCCACCAAGTGTAGGAAGCGCTCAGTACCATGGACCACTGACATGATGAGCCTGCCAATCCCCAAACTTACGATGCAGAACTCCATCGCAAGATTTCTGCGCTTGGGAATTTATCTGTCATTTGATGGTTTAACTCAAGAGCTTCTGGATCTGAAACATTCGAAAGCGTTGTGAGTCATGCCATCATCAGTGGATACTCGGTCTTGATTCAAACACTCTTGCCAAATGCTCTCACAACTGAGGACAAAGGACCAGCCTCAACACACTGAACGTTAAAGACGTACCTCCTGCATGGATATGCTTCCGCCCACTGTCCCGGGTTCCATACCCTGCCATCCCCCCTGTCAGTGCTTTTTGAGCTATGCGTTACCTCATGCCCGTCCGGGGTACGATGATGCAGGCTTGCAATCCCAATCATGCGACACAACACAGTGTACCATAGCATGCACCCAGCACGGAACATCACGGAACTAGCGCTGCTTATCAAAAACAGCGCCAATAACTTCTGAGTGCAAGTGCCCGTGTCAGTGCCTGACTACGACCGATCTCTGCAAATCGAAAACCATGAAAACCGGTAGCACCGGACATTATCTCCTAGCTTGCCGCAGGCAGCATTGGCGAACCCATGCTCGAGGGACGTGACAAAACCGGCTGGAAGAAAAAGTACTGCAGCACTGCATGGAGAAACATCAAAGGACATGTGGAGTTGTGGTCTCTTGCCTTGTGGCGAAGGTCCAGCTTTTCATCGTCACGCCTTCGTCCCGCGACAGCAGCGGGTAGTGGGATGTGAGCATGCACTGGGTCCCAGGCTCGTTGCTGTTCGGCTGCACGGCCTTCCAGTGGTCCACAGTTACAGCCGTGGTGCCGACTTGCGAAGCATCAAGTACGTACATACCTGCGCGGGTATGTCTGGGGCAGCCTCCTGCAGAGCGTCATTTGCTGTTGCCAAACACGGCTTAAACGTCCAACATGGATGCACAGCGGAATCCCTGACATCAACGCGCCTGCGCCTTGCTCCTGGTCCTATGGACCTGCATATGCAGCTGGCTCAGGAAAGCGCATGGGCACCTTGCAGCAGACAAAGAAAAAGTCCAGCCTTCAGCATCTTGCTCCACGCCCGCTGGACCTCTGATACTTTGGTTGAACTCACAACTGTCGAACATTATGCCAGAGGATGCCAGAGGTATGTATCAGCGCTTGAATGCATGCAGATAAGCCCACGGAGCTAGACTGGAAGAATCCGAACAAAACAAGCTGTTGGCTAAACGCTTGTAAACTTGCCCTGGTGTTGCCCCTGAACAGAGAATAGACACCAAAACATCCCTTGCTACAAGCACGGGCTTCATGAACTGAGTTCGAAATACTCTCTCCTGGGAAACTTATATTTTTCCTCCACACGTGAGGCCTGGATTTGTACCTTTGGGATGGCTGAGCAATATCCAGCACACTCCCCCTTCATGCTGAAGGAATGCAGGTAGAATTGACTCTTGGGGACTCAGGGCACAAAACGATCTGCAGACGATGGCTCTGTCAGGCTCAGTTGCTCACGCTCATGGTCTCAAAGGCTTGAGAACATCGCATTAGCAGGGCATGCCTGAAGCGGCTCAGCAGCCACAGTGGGAGCAGGAGTACACAAGGACAAGGGGCGCCTCTCCCACCAAATCTTGTAGAATGAGACCATGACCTCCCATGCACGACCTCGTGATGATAGATGCCCATACCTTCCACCATCCTTCTAGCAGCTCGCAAAGGCTGCTGCGTCTCGAATGCACCTGCCTCGGGAACTGTATCAATCGGTGCAAAAGCTGTGGAGCCACGGATGAAACTTTCAAGGCAAGCGCGCATAGTGGGCAATTGTCTGGAGTGGAATTTCCAAGGCCTGCTGTGGTCGGCTCACGGCAAAAGGCTTGAGCCTCCCAAAGTTTTGTTTGAGGCTGAGGCCAGCTTCCCCTTCTTGGACTCATGGACCAGGTTCACCTTATTTTCAAAGGTTTAGGGTAAAGCGTTGAGATTGCACAGAGCTGCACAACCACCAAATCAGGGACTCCAGCCAGGCGAATGCACCGGCACCAGTGCTTGGCAAGTGCCTTAACATGCAAAAATGGCTGGAGTTCTGGTAAGAGAGATGCCAGGTGCTTCAGCACATGTCAATACACCGCCAAGGGACAAATTGCGGCGCGTAGAGCCATACTCGCCTAGAGGCAGAAATCACGTTGAGAGCCTTTCGGTCGAGTAATTCAAGGTCTGAGGGTTGGGCCCTCCCTTCTCCAAAGTCACGCTGACCTGGTTGCTGGCAACTTGCATGTCTTTGCAACTTCTCTGCATGTCTGCTTCTGCCATCTTCTGGGAGAACACAAGGCAGCGGCTCTGGTTTGAAATCCAGCTTCGAACGGAGGGTTGGCCTTACAGAACAGACAACCATGCCTGGAACCTCCTCAGCATTCCTCCGAAAGTCTGGGAACTCGGCCGCTGCCTGCTCGTGCACCTCCTCCAACCTGTCAGGCTGCGGGAAATGATGCAGGCCACCCCCAAAAGCCAATGGCAAGGCCCCAAGAGCCAGAAAAGACACACATCAAGGCACATCTTGGGGCTGCGACCGGGCTGTCGAGCCCAGGAGGCTCAGCTGCACTTTATGGGACTTGCTGTCCAACCTTGCATATGCCCTTTTCAATTTTCGGGAACTCTAAGCTTCAAATGCTGCAACCAGGACCCCTGCTTCTCAAACACTGTGAGATCTGCACCTTCCAGCGTGCTTTCTCAACCAGTTTAAAAGATGCAGCAAGCTTGCATGTTGGCTGACACCTCTCTTCACAACTTCACGCTATGCATCAACTTCGCCAGACCCACCAGTCAGGACGAAGAATAATTTGGAGTTCCCCTGCAGCCAGCCGCCTTTCCTGGTGCATCAGAGTTCAACAAGGCCAAACCATCTGGTATATGCAGGAATTAGGCCCCTAGCATCACAATGACGTGCCGCTCCTGCACCTCCTGCTTCACTGCAAGGCACATCCAGCAGTGGTTTGCTGCTGCTTCTCCCTGCCTTTCTCAGCTCTTCCCAATGACTGGAGACCACTTCCTCCAGGTGCCCAGAAGACATGCACAATGCAAAAAAAGTCTGATAGCTGCAACGCGACTTAAATCTGGAGAAGCATAAGGGCCTAGCATCATGTACACCAACAGCAATGACACCTGAGTAGCTGGCAGCTGCTGCTTGGACGCCCTGCAAGATTGCAACACCTCAGTTCAAGTAAGACTTGCACCTGCACCCTTAAGGCTCCGCTTGAGCTGATACAGGCTAATTGTTAATCCTTCTAGTGGTACACAGCGCGCCCAAGGCCCCAACGTCGTTGCCGCAGGGCCTCACGCTGCAGTGGACGCCTGGGGCTGGGGCGTAACACTGGGCTTGTGCTGTCCCAAGAGATGGCCGCGCTTCTCGGATCATTCACGAACACCCAGAACCGCGCTGTCCCACCGGAAGTGAGCGGACTCTTTGGAGCTTCACGTCAACAGCAGCAAGCAGGAACGCCTGAAGTCGCAAATCATCAATCTGCCATGGCAGCATAAGAAGATATTCAGCCAGTTGTTCTCGCTATGTTATCTCATTCGTGTCATCATGCGAGACCATCTACTAAAAGGCCTTCTACGACCTACTGCTTGGCAGATGGCATTCAAGCATGCGCTGCGAACTGTTTCGTAGCTTTGCGCACAGATCACAATCTGAGTCTAGAAAGAGTTACCTGGCAAGCAAAGCATGCTGATCCGCATGCCCCGGAAGCCAGATAGGACAATCTCTGGCAGAGCCAGGTACTGTGCCCTACCTGGCTTTGCCTCGAGTAGGGCACCATTTCGAAGAAGCATTAACATCTCCTCACAACATTTTTGGAAATGGGAGGTCGAGAACCGACTGCGCTCTGCTTTGGCAGCTGTCGGATGTTGCAGCTAAGACTTGGCCGCAGATGTCACCGCGCAGCATGCTTTGCTGCTGCACAGCAACCAAACATTAACAGCCCGCGATGACAGGCATGTTGCAGAAGCATTTTGTTTACTTTGGTGCTCGTGCAGGGGCCGCGCACCACTGGCCAGAGCCACCTCATCTTCCGAAAGAATTCAACGATTTCAAAGCAGTGGCTTCCGCACGAGGCTTCGATAATTCTGCCAGAGCGCCGCCGCTTCTCTGGCCTCGGTGTGAAGCTGGTGCGGACCGTAGCCCGCAATTCACAATGCAATCTAGGAGCTGGTGACGTGAATGAGGTGCTGCAAGAGCTGGCCTCGAAAGAATTCATTGAAAGCAGATGGGAGCAGCATTTGCCATGTTCGATTTCGCTTAAGACAAGGCGCACTGACGTTCCTGATGCTCTCGCTGCTGCTGCGACTGCTGCGTGAAGAACTCCTTTAGTGCTGACTGCAAGCAATCACCTCTCACATGCTGAGTGACATACTTGCTGCCTGCTGCTGTCGCCGAAGCTCTCGCAACTCCTGCCACAGACACAACTGATCCAATTGTGGCCGCATGGCGCAGAAGAGTTTGCAAGCCTGAACCACGTCTGTGGGCAGATTGCCAGGAGCTGCCAGCTGCCCCTGTGGCTCCTGCGAGAAAATTGCAGAAATAAAGTATTGAACTAATGTGCTTACAGCCAAGGCGTTGTAAGATCCGCCGGCTGTTTAAATGTAATCAGCAAGTAGCCTTGCAATAAACCTGACTCGCCCAAACAAGGTGAGGCTGGTCCTTCTTGAGCTCTGCGAGGTTTTCTGGCTTCTCCTTACACAGACATGCTTCAATGTCAGGACTGCCTCCAAAAACTTTTGTTTCATTCCAGGCAGGGACAGTCAAGCAACATGACAGTTTCTGGATACAACATCACCCACTGGCACAGTCGAAGCTGCAGCAGCTCTGTCACTAGCATTGCATGACTCTAATGCCACAGATTCACATTCATGAGATCGCTTTGTGTTCGTCAAAGCTACAAAGTCCAAAGTCTCTGACTTCATAAAACGGCCGCTGAATCATAAAGAAAGGCAGGGAAAACAAGTGTGGGCTACCAGTAGGGAAAACAAACTAAGTGTGGGCTATCAGTAACCATGAGTTTGCCATGAGGTGCCATCTTCCGCTCCTGGACTTGAATGAGTTGGCTGGTACTGGCTTCCCCTCCTCCACGGAGTCTCCCTTAATACAATCCAAACGATGCAACTTCGATGGCACAGAATCTGTTTCAGCATCTGGTGGTCTACCACCCCGGGTTTGCTTTAGAAAACGGATATGCCAGGAAGAAAGACCAGCGCGCTCTCTCTCTTCCCAATCTTCCAAGGTTGAGGCATGAGACAATGGTGACTGCGGCTATCTGCACTTCTTTGCCGAGCTATACTTGACACTAATGTTGCGCTTTCACTTGACACCTTCAAATCCTTCAGCAATACTCATGTTACATTGACATACTTGCAAGTCGCCTTCAGGTGCTGTGCCACCAAGTCCAACTCATTCGTGCAGGGCACGAGAGGTGGACGTCCTGGTGGTGCACTAGGAGGGGGGAGGAGTCATTCCCTTGCCTGCAACAGGCAGTCCTGACTTTTCCCTGAAGCAGTCATCGATGCAGCAGGTCCGACCTTGGGCATCTCTTGACGGTCTCGCCCTGTCATATGTCATATCCCCCCAAGTGCAGGAGGGCCGCAGTCGTTTTGAGGGTGTGTCAGCGAACCTGAGACGCAAAGACGCAAAGTCAAAAGCGAGCCCGGTCCAAGAGTCCAACATGTCCAACCCGACAGCTTCTGGAGCCAAGTGACGAAAGTCCAAGAGCGCATCCTGAGTCAGCTCCGGCACCTTCCACGAGGTAGGGTCCAACTGAGCCTTAGAGATTGATCTTCTCAGGACATCCTCCACAGCCTTTGCGCACAATGCAGCCAGGCAGCCAGCAGCAGCAAGTTGTAGTCATCCATCATTTCCTCAGGTTACCAAAAGTGCATCAGTGCCCGGAGGGCATGGAAAAGCCGCATGCTTCTTGCAAAACAGGAGCAAAACACGGGAGGTCGTTCTGGTCTGGGCCTGGGCTCCAGCATTACCATTGGAAGACGGGATTCTGCGGGAAGAGAACCCTGAAACATGGACATGCATTAGAGGGAGCATCGGCTACGCCTGCCCGCAACCCTGCAGCAAGATCCTGTATCCCAGTGTTGGCAATACCCAAGGCCTACACCAGCAATCCCTGCTAGCGCGGGCATGCCGACAGGTCAAGTAGAAAATCTTTCAGCGAATTTGAAGGCAAGAGTCCAAAAGGAGCTTCAATTTCTGCTGCAATACAGTCCAAGCCCACCATGGAGCATGCAGTCAGCAAAGTGAAGCCGGCAATGATCCACGGACTCGTGTCCCTGAGATTCCAGACTCTCTCAGCACAACCATGACGTCGAAGCAAGAAAAGCTGGGGATGGCCAGCTTTCGGCTTGAGGATGGCTTAGGGAAGCATGGTAGCACTGAACAGGAAACTGATGCTTCAAAGGCACCATGTGCAGATGACTAGGGGAGAGACAAGGAGGTAGATCCAGATCAGGAACGTGTTCAGCTGGGCCTTCAAGCCATCGCACAGACAATCCAATCAAGAGGTGTGCATTCCATATAGGCTGGGCGCGTAAGGAAATGGAAATGGCCATATCACCACTTGCTGCGCTTTGTGGTATTCGACCAGGCCTAAGCTACACAACACAACCTGGCAAAGCTTCTTTTAATGAACTAGGGCTTTAACACGCGTCGAAGGCTGTCTACCGGAATTGCTTGCTTTCTATGCTTTAGCCCAGCAGCCCATGCTGAGCTCGTGGAAGACACGTGTCAAAATGGGCGGAGGCACTGCTATGATGCCTCTGACAAGGTTGCTATTGCCAATGCTCTGCATGAGTTTTCATGACATACCCTTGCCTGTAGCCTGCGACACCACAATGTGCTTCTTCAGCCAGCAGAGGACCGTAGTCGTCTTGATGGCATGGCCTGGATGGAGAACAGCCAATCCGGAACCCTCTTGCATCGTGAAGGGCAGCACCATGCCCGCCTATTCGGTTAGCGTTGGCCGACGTGTCGTTGCCATGGATGCCTCAATCCAAGAACGATGCAGCAGGAAAGTTCCTCTTGCATCGTGGCTGTCTCACGACCCACATTGTTATCTAAGAAAAGGGCTTTCCAGACAGTCCTTGGATGGCTCGGGTTGTTTGCAGCACGCTTGCCCTCGTTACAGGCCGTGAGCTCATTACTACAGAATGCGTCCGGGACGCTTTGTCCAATCCCAACGCATCAATCACACGAAAATTCTCGTGCTTGAGCTCTGCGATCTCCTCCATGGCCATCCTGAGCTTCACTTTCAAAGTTCTTGATGCTCTAAGGAAGATGCTGCGAACTTTGCTTAGGTGCAGTTTGCTATCTTTGCTGCTTGCAAAGCACGCATGGAGAATGCTAAACAATCTGACCGTCAGGTGCATGTAGCGCTGAATTTCCTGGCCACAAGCCCCATGCAAAGAAAAATGACAATCTGACATTGCCCACCTCTGGCTTGGCCTTGGAACAGCTGGTGAAAGCCAACAGGCTGGCGCAAGAGTCGGACCACTCAGAACCCATCCTGGGCGCATGCAACAAAACTCAAAAGTTCAGCACACCAATAGTACTGGCAACCAGGCCCTACCACGTTGCAGGTCGGAGAAAACCTTTGCAGATCAAGGTGCTCATGAACTGCTGTCGCAGCAGCCCAGTAGCGAGTGTAGGACTGGGATGTCCGAAAGACCAGGGTGAAGCCTCAAGCAGATGAGCTCCACTTTGGATGTAAATGCTTTCCGATCAGACAGACAACCCATCGACATCTTAGAAAGCATTAGCACGAGGCAAGCGGCCCAAGACAAAAGTAAAGCCTCCATAAATCTCACCTGTGTTGAGGAAGTCGAGAACTTTTAAATCCACGACTCCCCAGATTTCGAGATACTTTATCATCAGCGCGATGAGTGCCCAGGGGAGCGATATCCTGTACGGGAGCTGCTCAAGTGGGCACACACCTGGCATTTCCATCAGCAATTGTCCTCAAGGACACTGGAAGCACGCTGCCGCGCACCCCAAACATGGAGGTCCATTTGTTCGGATTGTAGTGGATCATGCTGCCACAGGCTCGCTGGGGCCTTGCAGGAGAACAGTAAACGACCGCAGCAGGCAGGTAATACTATGCACATGGCCTTTGGCACCAGACGCTCGGCTATGCTGTGCTCACATTGAAGCGGAGGGAGCTCGTAGGCTGAGGAGGAGCCAAACGGCTGCAGGGAAAGGCTCGGGCTTCAGCAAAGGCAGAAGTACGCAACAACAGAGCCAACGCGTTGGGGCAAATGCCGCGCAGGTGGACAAGACAGCGAACTGCCTGCTGCAGACGTTTTCGGTAAAACGTCTTGCTGGTGCCGGCCTCAGGCTTCAAGCTTAAATCCGTTCACGCATCACATGCTTGTTTGATATCCCCCGCTTGTAGGTGGCAAAGTTACATGGCCACTTAAATGGCTTCATGTGCCACTGAAATGGGTCCATGTGGGGGTTGTCCAATATTCCTTCATCTTGAATTCGGGGCTTGCGCCCTGCTTGCGCGGAGCTCGTGCGCGCGCGCGCAGTTTGGCTCAAAATGGTTTTCGTGCAGTGTCATCACGCTGACAAATTGAAATGGCTTATATTGCTATGAAGCCTAAATGGCCAGGCTGGCCATCAACCGACCACTTATTGAGCATCGCCTCATCACTGCGAAACATTCAGGAAGCAAGAATGGGCTGGAGGATGCCATCAGCCATGCGCGTTTGCGCAGAGCTTTCGCGAAGCTGTCGCGAAGCTTTCGCGAAGCCTGCGCGGATTCGCCGTGTAATCGTGAGTAATTTTGAATTTTGATGCGCCAACCTTGCGCCGTGCTTGCACGTAGCTTGACACGTAGCTTGCGCGCGCAGGGTTTTTGACAAAGTATGCTATACTTGGTTTTGGATTATCTAAATGTGACGGTCGTGATCTACACGAATAAACAGGCCGAAACGATGTCGGGCCGGGCTTGAGGCCACAGTCAAACCCGCCGCTTTCCCGTGCTTCGCCACGGAGTATCCAATTTCATGTAGGACCCTTTTCTGCCATGTATATAGCCCTTGTATGGAACAGGCTGTGTTTTGGACTGTTTGGAGATGTTGCACAAACTCCAAGAAGATGAGGATCCACATCCTGAAATCAGACCTAGCTGTTAGGCTGTTCCTCACGTGTGGCTCGCCAAGTTTGGCAGCCGCCTCACTGCAACCTTCTGGATGCTGAGCTTCGGAATGACCAGTGCGGCTCCCATAAATATAGGTGCAACGTAGTTTGGGCCCACTCTAGCAGCACCGCTCGGGCCTCAGTAGCCAACACACACGTGGGACGTAGTCAACAATGCTGGCTGGCTGGCCGCGGAACTAGTGCGAGCAACCTGCTAGAGACGTCTGGTTATTCAAGGATAGCCATGTGCAGTAAGCCCCTAGCCCTGGCCTCCATGTGAGCACGCATCGTGTCTAGGGTCTATCCTAGCACTACGGTTGTGGCCTCCGTAGCCAAACACACAGACAAAAGCATTATCACCGTGAACCGATTCGAGAAGAATTCGCCTGAGTCCTTGGCCGATCCAGGATAAAAATAGAAGTACAAAGCCAGAAGTAAGGCTACGAAAATCTCTGCTCTGAAGTGGTACACGGACATGGAGCTAACATATAACTGACAGGTGAGCCCAAGTCGCTGTGTGGCCGGTCGCGCTAAATACTGTGACTATCAGCGTAGTAGGATGACAAGCATATACAGCATCTAGCAGGGCACTAGGGTCACCAGTGCAGAGCGAGGATCATATCGAAGAGCTCTCAAATAATGGCAGGGACCTCCAGTTCGGCTTCCAAAGTGTTCGTTGCCATCCCCTGGCGCCCCCTGCAGACACCGCCTTTACAGCATGAGCTTCAATAGCATAGATTAAATAGCATCGTTCTGCATTATTGATACGTTCTTTGTGGTATTCTTAATATTCTTACTGTTGCAAGGAGTACTTTGTTGTATTCATTGCTACTTTGTATCACTGTCCCTACTATCTCTTATGAATACGCGCTATTATTCACAGCTATTGCCAATACGAAGTCTTATGTCCGTCAATACTGTTCATCATGCCCATTTCCTGTTATCATTCATTGTTATTGGTTTTGTTCATTGTTACTGTGTCTTATCAGTAGCAAACATATGAGCAGTGTTTTTTCCTCATAAAGTTTCTTGTACTAACATGGAGGGCCTACGCGAACTACGCGCAATGGTTGTTCTCCCTGCGGAAGAGACTACGCGGGGATACTCTTGCTATTCAACTGACTACACGGAGTACGCGGCACACTTGGCCTACACAACGTTCTACGCAATATGTTTTATGAAACATACAAACTACGCAGACTACGCGGACAAGATAACCTACACGTGACTACGCGAGACTACGAAAGACTAGGCCCGAGGGATCATAGCTGTTTCATGCAGAAAAAAACGCTGCTCAAGTGCTTTTGATCCCATTGAAAAATGTTACAGCCTTTTCACGACTGTCTTTAAACTGTGATCACGAAAGGCGAACAGCATTCGTAGTCTAGGGTGGGGGGGATTGCGGTTTAGGGTTCATGGTTTGAGGGATTCGTGTCTTTGTTGTTGCTGCTTGCTTCTCGTCTTTCAGCGTGGTTCGTGTGCATTGACAAAAACATAATATGAACGACCCGTGGAAATGACAACCAAAAAAAAAGTAAGAAAATGATGTTCACCAGCGCGGCTTGTGAAGCAAGAAAATGACCAAAAGTCACAAGAAGCATTTTGCGCGATTTTGGACACTCTTTTTTCATATGCACAACATAGTCTGAAATCATGCTGCGATCAGATCTGCACATGTACATTTGCCTACGATAACCAACATCTGCTGCACCGCGTGTGATTTTGGACCTCTAGAAGTATCAACATGGCAAAAAAAGTGCGTTTTGACACTTTGAGAAACGGTGCAACCCTTTCACAGCTGGGCTTGCGCAACTCGCCCTGCCATCATTACAACTTTCTACAACTATCATGTAATACTATTGTTGTTTTGGCTAATTGTCATGAGAACAGGCAACAACATGCAAACACATGCCGACACTATTTACCCATGGTGGGGCGGTCTTCAACTCAAATGACTCCGTCTGACTCATGCGAAGAACTAAAATGGTATATAACTCCCAAAACCCCCGACAAGCGAACTAAACTAAAATGGCTTTGGCTCATGTTAACCCCTTCCCCCCATTTCAATGGCGCAAAACCTACCAGGATCTTGTTTGGATGCTGGCCAGCCAGCCGGAGGAAATCTTTGCTTCTCCGCCACCCGCATCCTGTCTGAGACGTTGTGAACAGAAGCCACGTGCAAGCGAAGGGTGCAAGCAGTCCCGGCTAAACTGGAGCTTTGCTGGTACGCGTCGGACACCTTCGGGTGTGTGCTCCTTTCCAACAAGAAGTTCCAAGTCTGCACCGCCTTCTTCCGCCATTTGTCCGGTGCACAGCTGCAACGGTGTCACCACATGCTACTTTTTGCGATGGGGTACCCGAGGATGTAAGCTCGTCTATTCTGTCAGGCTATATTCAGTCAGTAGTAATATCCCTAACGGATCGCAAGCAAAGAGCTGCTTTCATTTTGCAGCTGAATTTCATGCGTGCAGCCTAGCCCTTTCATGCAAACAGCGGCAGCGAATAACTGACCTTGAATCATTAAACTTTCGAAGGGGTCCGCTATGCCCCAAAAACCGCACCAAAACAAAGCTGATGAGCTGAACCAGCGACTTACTTCGAATGCAAGCAAGCTCGACTTTTCAGTGCGGCCATGTGGACGGAGGTCCAGCGTGAGGGGCAAGCGAGGAAGCAATTTGTCCACAAGATTTTTGCCTCAGGAAGGTCTCTGCAAGGGCAACGACGCTTGCTTGACAGTTGTGTGAGGTCCGCACTACATGCAGCGCGCACTTTGCAAGAACTGGCTCAAGCGGTCGAAGATGGAAGCGTCGGTGCCACCTGCTAAAGAAGAACGGCCGTTGGGGCTCTGGAATCCAAACGACGAATCAGCTACCTGAAGTGTGTCGGTTACAAGTGCAAGGTTTGGGGATATCGTGCGGAGGGAGTATGTAGGCCCATATAGGCCCACGCCACAGTTCAGTACTGCAGTCCCTTTTGATCGCGCAGTTCTTATCGCAGCTTGTGGGCGCCTTCCTTTGCAGATGGCATCTGGCTCGGAACCTGACACCAGCTTTTGCCCCAACTTCGACGACGAGAAACTAACATCTCGTTGCTCGACTCTCCGGTATACTCCGGTACTCTGCTGTGTCATTGCACATGCTTGCAAGCAGCTCATCAGAGTCACCTAGCCTCAGCCCCTTGCACTGTGCATCTCAAGGGAGAGCATTCCAGGATATTTCAGAGCGTTTCAGGACTCGGGGCGCCTCGACTACCTTCTTCACCGAGCGTGCAGGGGCCTGCAACAATCGGATGTGCCACCAGACCAGGCTGTGTGCTAAGCCGTGCTCTACCGTACTCTGCTGCTGGCGCCATGCGTGCCTCTCTCGGCAAGAGCCCTGCATCTTGAAAAAGCTCCGGGTACAGGGATGCCTCGCATGAAGGCATCGAAGGCATCCGCGAGGCTCTGAAGGCACACGTCGCAGGTCGCAGCTCTCTAAGCATCCGGCCCGGCACTCTCGCAGCATCCAGGTGGCCATGTCGGCTGACACCGCACTGCAACAGCGAGGAGGACTTCTTTCAGAAGATTAACCTTTTCTGGAATTGATTCCCAGCCTCTCATCCTCCGTGCACAGATCTTGGAGCTGCGGACGGGGCCCGTCTCCTGAGCCGAGCCCGGTGACGCGACCCCTTGCAGCTACCCGCATCCCCAGCACAAATCGTTGGCCACGGCTCCGATGGCGGAGATGTGAACATCGAGCATGGCCTCATCTTGCCGAAGCAGAGAACGCATGAGCACATGCGAGGCAGGGCGGTCTTTCACGCGAGGCAGCTCTTTTAAAGCCCGAGGTCTGCGCGAGGACTGCTGGCCTGAAGGGGTTCGGCATGTAAGCCTAGCAGGAACAGTCTGCTCCA